TCTTCTGAGATGTCAGGTATCTGTGTACCACCAGATAGATTCGTACTTCTCAGGAGCAATCTGTACCACCTGTCTCTAAGAATCAAGTCGAGGGAATATGCATGTCTCTGCCTGTGTCCAGAGAAAGAAGCCATAACTGTACGTATGAATCTTTTGAATCTAATTTTATAAGACTGTAAACACCTTGGCTGAATACAGCTCTGAGTCTGTAAGACAGAATTGACCAATAACAATCTGGGTCAAGAGGGGCATACCTGGAAGATGGTAATGGACGTAGAAGAGAGAAAAGAGGCAAATGTTGTGCTATGCTGAGAGCTACAGTAAAGTAGAGGCCAGGACCACCTGACCCAGATCCTGAGCCTGGAGTGCCATGATAAAGCCACAGAGTTCAAGGGTGCCAGAAGAAGACCAAGCATCCCCCTTTATCTTGGATTTTCTCATTCACAATGTGCAAAAGGTAAGGTCTATAGAGGAGACTTGGCTAGAACCTGAACTTTTACTGACTGACTTGAAGCTGGCTTGCTGCTACAATTTCTTTATTATAACTACTCCAAACTCCAATCAGTTATTTCAGGATTTTACTGCTCACTAAACTGACAGTGGTATTGTATGATGACTAAGAGAAGCATTATTAAAGTCTTTAGAAAGAAGCAATGCCTAACTCTTGTTCTAGACCAAATGAATCAAAATCCCCAAATACTGGACTCAAGCATTATAGCTTTTAAAAGCTTTCTATGTAATTCTAGTGTGTGGCCAGAATTGAGAACCACTGATATAGATTGAAATCGGTAAGAGATACCAAAGTTGCGCTTAAGGGGTTGTAATTTCTGGATATAACCCTAAACAAGCATGTTTCCACATGGTCATGATTAGGTAGTGCTGGAATGACAAACAAAGGCACCAGAGGATATAATGAGAATGCCACCAAGAATTTAACCCATGACTGCTACCCAGAAAATAAATTGTACAGACCACAAAACATACCCAGGACCAGACAAGTTGGTAGGTGTTGTGTGTTACAGCCAGGTATTAAAGATGCAAAGAACAGAATCCTACTCAAGGTAGTTCAGTATTAGGAAGAGAAACAAAGACACGAAGAGAGACCTCAAAGCAGTAGAGGCATCTGGATTGCCGGACTCAGAAACCAGACGACTCAGGGCGCTCCCTCCCTCTCAGTCATTGGAGCTCTTTTGTCTCTGTTCCTCTCTACACACTTGATTCAGTCTTCGTGGTGCTGGCTTCCCTGTTTACTCATTTAACACAAGGGCCAGAGGAGTGCCCCAAAGTTACCAGAGCCTACAGTAGCGATTGGAGATAGTCATCAAGTCTCTTCATTCAACTTTTCAAGAAGGAAAACATGGTCAGTGGCCTAACAAAGGATGGCTGGTCTGATCTGGCCTTGGGTCACGTCAACCTCTTCCCATAAGCCAGTCTGGGTACAGAAAATATTATGTGGTTCACAGGCGGAATGTTTTAGCAGACCACTGTCAATGCAGATACTTGGAAAGAAACTATGGGTAGGGCAAGTACATCTCCTATCTGCTCATTACCCTTGGACCACATGACTTTCTTTTTCCACAGGTGACTAATGGATATGGGGGAGATGAGGTGGAACTTGAAAGCATGTGCCATATGTGCTCCCTGACAAGGTACTGGCCTCTCGTAGAGTGGCCACAAACTGGCATGTCCTAAAGACCAGATATCAACTTTCAACCAGCATGTTTGTGCACGATTCAACATGTGTTGTTTTCTTTCTGAAACCTTCAAAAAATCCATTCTTGGCAATGGTGAAAGCCTAGGAGTACCCAAATGGGGACTTTGTGGTGTCTTCAATATCAAACCCATCCCTTCTGCTTCATTGTGGCAAAGTTCTTAATGCCTAGACATTGGCATGAAAATGTAAAATACCATTCAGTGGGAAGCACTGAATACCTGTCAATGTTGGAAAACGTGGATGTGGGTGATGGTTGCACACCATGATAGATGTGACCGATGTCTGAATTGTATATGAAAAAAATTGAATTAGCAAAGGTTGGGTTATTTATATGTTACCATACAAAAAAATGAAGTAACATTTACACAATAAAGTGAATTCTCCTCTCCTTGGGCCTTTATCTGATTACTTTGAAAATTGGCAGTTAATATGCCATTACAGTAATTTAACAGTTAAGTTGACAACCCTGAAATAACCCCCTTGGCTTTCTTAGATGACTATCTTGCACTAAAACTCAAAATGGCTCTTTTCAGAAACTTAGAACATGTGCCATCTTCTGGGTTTATGAAAACGGTGGCGTGTGGATTCTGCAAACTATCCAAACAGAGCAATCGCGTGTAAGCTCATTCTATGTTCTAACGCAGACTATGGTGGCAAAGGATTGAGCTGTTTTCTGCTCTTCATTTCTATCATATAGTCAGGATCTGAGGGGCCAGGTCTATTAGGAACCCACTCACTGCCAATGAGGTGATGTTGACTCATAGTGACCCACTCCTGTGAGTTTCTGAGACTGTAACTCTTTAGGAGACGCCAGGAGACGCTGGTGGTTTCGAACAGCTGGCCTTGCAGTCAGCAGCCCCATGTGCAATCATTCCCCCACCAGGGTTCTTTTAGAGGGAACACACCACAGCCAAAAAACAACCCTCTCCCCAACCTGTGGGCAGTGTGGGTTTCCCTCTGAAGCCCCCAAGGATAGGAGTAAGTGGAAGTTAGGAAACAGGATACACAGGGGGATGGAAGAAACACCGAAAACAGATGCCAACTCAGCTTCCCAGAGCACGTGTGCCTGACAAGCGCGCATTTGCGTCTCTTCAGTGGAGTAACGGTTTAGCTGGCCATCAAGCTATTGAAAAATGAGGTTGATTCCCCACCCTCCAAGAATTAAATACTTGCATTTCACCGACAAAACAAAACACCTTAAACCAAAAGGATGATTTTGTTTCCCTCGACTGAAAATAAAATTCCTGCCTACTGAAGCGGGGTGCAGCTGAGTTATCACTATTTCTGTCCTGTAATTTGTTTTATAGGGTACTAATTAACAGGGCCAAGTCTGTTGCCAGCAAAGTAAGTCACATTTTGCCACCTTCTTCTTCTCTAACAAGACACAGACCTGGTCTTTAATTAAAGAGCGGATTCCAAGGGCACTATCAGCTGCGGAAACCGGGAAAACACAGGGCTGGGAGGAGAGCCCGCTGTGCTGTGGAACTGCAAAGGGGGCGTGGGAGAGAGGGCGGGCTAAAGGGAGAGGAGGCGATGGCACAGGTACCCTGTAAAGAGATGGTGCTTCTCAGAGGTCTCCAAGGTCCGTCTTTACTCATCTTTTCTTTGCTCCCCTTCCTCCCCCGGCTCCACTTAGCCGACAACCAACCGTCGAGTGGTTGCTGGCTGTCTTGGGGCCGTTCTAACTCAGGGCGACGCCATAGGTGCACAGTACAACTGTTCCTTTGTAGTTTCCAGATGGCGACGTCTCAGAAGCAGATCACCAGGCCTTTCTTCCGAGGCGCCTCTGGGTGGATTCTAAGGACCAGTCTTTCTGCTAGCAGTCTAGAGCTGAACCTTGTGCATACCCCAAGAACTCCTACCCCCCCAAAAAAAAAAACAACAAACACAAACCCCAAAACGTACTGCTATCGATTAATTCCGACTCATAGAAACCCTATAAGGGCAGGGTGGGTTTCCAAGATGGTAACTCTTTACAAGAGTAGAAAACCTCTCGTTCTCCCGCGGATCAGTTGGTGGTTCTGAACTGCTGACCTTGTAGTTAGCAGAACAACGTGTAATCAAGTAACCAGGACTCCTTCACGCGCTACAAACCAAACCCAAACCAAAAAACTCACTGCCATCCAGCCGATGCCCATTGATAGCGGCCCATTTAAAAGCTGCACACTTCCCTCAAATTTGTGTTTTGGGGGAACATTCACAATTTAGGGAGCATTCTGGCCCACAACATTCCGACCTGCTCCTGTCTGTTCACCGGTCTTTGACCCTGCGCATCCCTCACCCTAACCCTCCCAGATCAGGGTCTTCCTCATTCCCTCCCTCTCCCGCGGGATTTGAACCTGAAGCTGCAGATCCCGCTTCTATTGCCTGCCTCCCCTACTCCACAGAGCCCTCTCCTGCGGGGAGGGGACAGGCTGGGAGGGCGCGGAGAGTGAGTGCCTAGCTCGCGCTCTGGAGCGGGAGCCTGACGTCACCACGCTCTGGCTGTCAATCTCCAGGCGGGCGCGCAGCCCGCAGCCCCCAGTTCTGTGCCGGAGGCTCACTCGCGGCAGCGCGGGCACAACGACAGGCGCCCCGCGCTCCGCTCCGCTCCGCCTGGGCCCCGGCCACCTAAGGCAGGCAGTCTCTCCGTGCGCCGCGGGAGCGCAGCCCGGCGCCCCGCCACGGAGCTCATGACCAGCGTCTTCCTGCAGCCTTGACTCCGCAGGTGAGCGGCTGGGCTCCCAGCAGGAACTTTGGGGGTGTAGGGAAGGGAATGGGGTGAAGAATGGCCAAAGGTCTGTGCCTTCCCAGAGTCAGAACAGGGGAGCTACGCTTCGCCCCCCACCCCCAAACACACCAGCTTTTACTCCCGGCTCCCGGCTCTCGGTAGACTGCCGGCCCCGCTCCGCACAGTCCCCGAAACTTCGCTTTCAGGACCGCGGACAGCGGCACCGCCCGGGAGCGCGCCCTCCCGGAGGTAGCTCACGGGAGCCAGGGGGACTCGCCGGGGCTGACACCCCTCACCCGGCGCGGTCAGGTGCATGTCCCTTTGCAAACACACCCAGGGGACTGGTCTGTAGGTGCATGCTATCTGTCTGTCTGTCTGGCAGAAGCTCAGGTGTCCGTGCCGGCATCTGAGTGCCTTCCTCTTGCGCACTCCACAGGTTTGTCTTTCTTGCGGGCTCGCTCGCCCGGCTGCCCCGCTACGGAGCGCGGGGAGAGACGCCCCGGGAAGTTCTCGGGGGGTCCGAGCCGCCCACACGAGCAGTGCGATCCCTCTCTCTGCAGGGTGCAGCGTCCAGCCGAGATGAACGCGAGCGCCTCCTCGCTCAACGAGTCGCAGGTGGTGGCGGCGGCGGCCGAGGGAGCGGCGGCGGTGGCCACGGCGGCGGGGGCGCCGGACACTAGCGAATGGGGACCTCCTGCTGCGGCGACTGCGGCGCTGGGAGGCGGCGGCCCGGCTAACGCGTCGCTGGAGCTGTCGTCGCAGCTGCCCGCGGGGCCGCAGGGGCTGCTGCTGTCCGCCGTCAACCCGTGGGACGTGCTGCTGTGCGTGTCGGGGACGGCGATCGCGGGCGAGAACGCGCTGGTGGTGGCGCTCATCGCGTCCACCCCGGCGCTGCGCACGCCCATGTTCGTGCTGGTGGGCAGCCTGGCCACCGCCGACCTCCTGGCAGGCTGTGGCCTCATCCTGCACTTCGTGTTCCAGTACCTGGTGCCCTCGGAGACCGTGAGCTTGCTCACCGTGGGATTCCTCGTGGCCTCCTTCGCCGCCTCGGTCAGCAGCCTGCTGGCCATTACAGTGGACCGCTACCTGTCCCTGTACAATGCACTCACCTACTACTCGCGCCGGACCCTCTTGGGCGTGCACCTCCTGCTGGCCGCCACCTGGACGGTGTCCATCGGCCTCGGGCTGCTGCCGGTGCTGGGCTGGAACTGCCTGGCCGAGCGAGCCACCTGCAGCGTGGTGCGCCCGCTGACGCGCAGCCACGTGGCGCTGCTCTCGGCCGCTTTCTTCACGGTCTTCGGCATCATGCTGCACCTGTACGTGCGCATCTGCCAGGTGGTGTGGCGACACGCGCACCAGATCGCGCTGCAGCAGCACTGCCTGGCCCCACCCCACCTCGCCGCCACCCGGAAGGGCGTGGGTACGCTGGCCGTGGTGCTGGGCACTTTTGGCGCCAGCTGGCTGCCCTTCGCCATTTACAGCGTCGTGGGCAGCCGCGAGGACCCAGCCGTCTACACCTATGCCACCCTACTGCCCGCCACGTACAACTCGATGATCAACCCCATCATCTATGCCTTCCGCAACCAGGAGATCCAGCGCGCCATGTGGCTGCTGTTCTGTGGCTGTTTTCAGTCCAAAGTGCCCTTCCGCTCAAGGTCCCCTAGTGAGGTTTGAAGACTCTCCGCCACCATCCCCACACCACCACGACCACCACCACCACCACCACCACCCCGCAACAGGTCGGCCTTGGGTGAAGTTCTCAGTGCCTGCTGCTGAACTCAGGATGCCAGTGGGGTGAAACGGGCTTTGGGAAGAAAGCCCCCCCACATGAGAGAAGCCGATCAAAACAGAGAGTTCAACAAGGACAAAGAGGCTTGTTGGCGCATAACATATACAGTGTATACATGTGTACATATATATACAAATACTTGTATGGTCGCGAAGTGTTCAGGGAGTGGAGCTTCCTGTTGTGTGAAACCAACAAAGATGTGGTTGTGTACTCAAATTGTACATCACATTTGTCCAGTGAAGACATTCCAATACTGCTTCATGATAGCACTTTATTTTTAGCTGCTGAGCTGCCAAAACAGTGTTGCCATTCCCAAGGACAGCGGGGAGGGGTGGGAGAGAATAAGAGATGTATTTTTAATGTATGTGATAGAATATTTTGCTGCACATGTACCAACAAATTACATATTTTGTACGCAAATAAACATTGTCAAAATATGGTGTGTGTGTGTGTGTGTGTGTGTGTGTGTGTGTGACTTTCTCTGGAGGAAAGCTGAATTATCAGCGTATTTACCTTGAAGGTGTCTTGTGTATAATTTCCTTCCTGAGAAAATATAAATGTAAAAACTCATATGTAGTTGTCCATTGTTCATACATTTCCATACAAATATCTAATCCAGTTCATCCTTAGGGGCCAGGGAGACTGGAATGCACTCACAGGGCAGTCTGAACCGGATATGAATGACTTGTTAGTGTTGTTAACTGCAAATGAGCCTATACCTTTGGAACACTTTGGGCTGCTAACTATAGTCAGTAGTTCAAAGTCACCAGCCACTCCTCTGGAGAAAGACAATGCTTTCTACTCCAGTAAAGAATTCCAGTCTTGGAAGCCCATAGGGGAAGTCCTACCCAGGCCTCCAGGGTGGCTGTAAGTCAGAATCAAGTCAATGGCAGTGAGTCCGGAGGTTTTCGTGTAGCTGAATGTGGAAGACCAGCTCCAAAGAGAGGAGGACCCAAGATGGCGTGTCACCACATGTGCACGTGGGGATCCTGAAGCCGCAACTGTCATTTTCCCAGTCTGGGAATTTTAGTTGTGTGAAATTCATATTGACTGGATTGTTGCTGGTTCGGTCTTTTAGCAAAATGCTCACCCTTATAAAAGGAATCAAGTTTTCCAAGACAGACAGAATCCTGATGTATTTTTGTGAGCATGAGGAAATTGAAAGCAAGGCCAGCAGTCTCTCTGGAGACAGTAAGATCCTGAATGGTTCTTTTCTACATTGTATAATGAGTCATGGTGACACGGCTCCTCTCCTCGCCTCTCCTCCATAGAGGATAATGTGAAGATAAGTCATACATGGGGGTGGGGGTGGGGGGGAAAGAAATATGCACACAGGTGTGAGTAGTTACTGCTCTTAAACCTTAGGAACACATTCATAAGCAAATTCGTTTATCCTTTACACAACTATGTATCAAATGACTACTAAATACGAGTCACTCTTCTAAGAAGGAGATACAGAGGCGACAAAAGAGGCAAAAGGTCTCTGTGCCCCAGGAGTTGCACTCTCGGGTGGGCACTGCACAGCTAGCAACAAGCGAATAGGTGACATCATGTTGAAGCAAAATAGAGCAGGGTGAGGGAAGGGCAAACCTGGTGGTCGTTAATTCGGTTCGGATGGTCAGGGGGGTTCTCTAGGAGGAGGCAACATGTAGGAAGTCCATCAATGAAGAGAGGGCACAGGGCGTATGAGGATGTGGGGAAACAGATTTCCAGACAGAGAGAGCAGCATTACACAGAGCAGTGCTCAATCTGGTGGGGGGTGTGTGTGTGGGGGGGGGAGTATGCTGGCATGTCCAAGGACAGCTAGAAGAGCAGTGTGGCTACACCAGAGGGAGTGAGGGGGGGAGATTTCTGAAGGGAAGTTTGAGAGAAGGGAGACTGACCAGGGGATGCTTCACAGGCCACTCTAACTATTCACTCGAGTACGCTGAGTGGTATTCAAGCTAGTATGGACATTACATGATCTGACTTGTGGTTCTAAAGCAAATCGTTATTCTACTGATGTCCCTGGGAACAGGAGATGGAGATCTATAGCCATAATCAGCATGAGAGAGGACAGTGACTTGAAGTCCTGTGACAGCGGTGGAGATGATGAGAGGTTATTGAGTACTGAAAATATGCTGACAGAAAAGTGGGTGAAAGGTATAAGAGACTAGCAGTTCAGAGGGACTCCAAGATTTTGTTGTGGTTGTTGCCTTAAGCAAACAAGTGGGGGCAGTGGCCTTTAGTGAGGGGAGCAGGAGCGGGGACAGTGAGATGAATGGAAACTAAAGAAATTCATTTGAGGCACCTAAACGGACAGGTCCGTTTATTTATCTGACACACGCTTCTAGGGCACGGTTCTAAGCATTTTACAAATATCACCATAACAATTCTGAAGCAATCAGGTCCCAGCGGGAAACAAATGACACACTCAAAGCAAATGAGTCAAGAGAGTTTAATGAAGGCACTATTTATAAGGTGTGAGTACACTTAAGGTAAACCAAAAAGGGTGCCCTAGCCCCAGCCCTGAGCTAGTACCAGCAGGGCTGCCAGAGGGAACAGGGGAGACAGCAATGACCGGAACCAGGAGAGAGCGCCCTAGCGGAAGGCTGCTCAACATGACCTGTGGTCTACAGCAGAGGCAGGAACCTACTGTCAACCACCACTTGACAGCACGGAAGTTGGGAGACTAAACAAATGGGATGACCCCTCCTCTCTTCTATCCCCTGATGGTGCCTTCCCATAACCAAGCCCAACCAGAAAAACCAAGGAACACAATCATCCTCAGCTGTAGTCCAGGTCAGTCAGCCTACCCGGGCACTGAGCATGGTGGAGAAGGATGAAGAATAGATTTAGATGTGCAGAGAGAACAGCCAGTACTACTGCTATACTATCAGAGGAGCTGGACGATAGGGTGAAAAGTGCTGCCTCAGATTGGAGGACAGCTTATCAACCACCTGCAGTATGCAGATGACACAACCGTGCTTGCTGAAAGCGAGGAGGAATTGAAGTACTTGCTGATGAAGATCAAGGATTGCAGTCTTCGGTGTGGATCGCAACTCCATGTAAGGGGACCAAAATTCTCACGACTGGACCGATAGTAACATCATGATATAGGGAGAAAAGATTGAAATTGTCGAGGATTTTGTCTCACTTGGATCCACAATCAATACTCGTGGAAGCAGCAGTGAAGAGGTCACAAGACATGTTGCATTAGGTAAATCTGCTGTACAAGACCTCTTCAGAGTGTTGTAGAGCAAGGATGTTACTTTGAGGACTAAAGAACACCTGGCCTAAGCCATGGTATTCTACATCGTCTCATATCATGTGAAAGTTGGACATTGAATAAGGATGACCATAGAAAAATACCGTGTTTCCCTGAAAGTAAAACATCCCCCCAAAATAAGACCTACTTACAGTTTTGCCTCTCGCTGAAATATAAGGCATCCCCTGAAAATAAGACCTCCCCGAAAATAAGGCCTCCCCAATAATAAGGCCCCCCCAAAAGCTACTGTAACTCTGCACTCTGGACCGTAGCTACGGGCGCCGCCACGTAGCTCACTGTTGGCCGCAGCGCAGCGGGAGCAGAAAGGAAGTGTGAGGTCTCTTTTAATCAGAGAGCCCATGCCGCTGCCAGGACAAGCTGCCCCCTGCTGCTTGCTCTGCCCTGACGGAGTCTGGCTGACTCACGATTAGACAGTGAGTCGCGCAGGGCAGGAGTAACAAGAAATTCTTGATACTGTAGGATTCAGTTTGTCTGTTTATGCTGGTTTGTGATGACAACTACTACTGTACCGTATATAGGTAATAAATTTCCTTTCTTGTTCAACAATAAATGTGTACCATATTCTTCTTCGTGGAAAAATAAGACATCCCCTGAAAATAAGACCTAGCGCATCTATGGGAGCAAAAATTAATATAAGACACTGTCTTGTTTTCGGGGAAACTGGGAAGAAGCATTTGAATTGCGGTGCAGGAGAAGAATATTGGAAGTGCCACCGACTGCTCAAAGGACAACCTGATTTGTAGGGGAAGAAGTAAAGCCAAACGTGCTCCTTAGAGCTAAAGATTGCATCTTACATACTTTGGAGACACTGTCAGGAGAGACCACTCCTTGGAGAAGGACGTCATGTTTGGTACACTGGAGGGGCGGCGAAAATGAGGAAGGTCCCCTAGAAAAGCGATTGACCCGGCAGCCGCATCAGTGGGCTCAGGCAGAGCGACGTTTGTGAGGCTGGTGCAGGACCAGGCCGTGTTTCATGGCGCTGTGTGCAGGGTCTCTGCGGGTGGGAGCCGACTTGACACCTGACCGCAGCAACAGCAATGCTATGCGGTAGGTGGGTGCTGTTATTATCCCCATGGATGAATGAGGAAATGGTGGCACAGGAACCTGGGGCTAAAGAAACCTGGGGTGCGGGAGAGAGAGAGAGCTCTGAACTGGGCTAGCATTTAAAGGCAGTTTCTAAGGCCTGGGACTCGATGGAGTCGCCGAGAGAGCACATGGAATCAGGAAAGAGAAGAGCGCCGGCGCGGAGCCCCCGGCAACTGCAGTCTTCAGAAATCAAGCGGAGAAGGAGGTTTGCACAAAGGAGGCAGAGGAAACGTGGCTCGCGTCATGGGAAGAAGCCAAAAGAACACAATGGTCAAAAAAAGGAGCAGAAATTACATATTTAAGGAAGAGATTGTCAAGTGGGTCAAGCACTACTGAGAGAAAAAGTCAAATGAGAATTTTTAAATCACTACCAATTTTGTAAGGTGAAGGTCACCGGTGAGCTTAACTAAAAGGGTCTCCAGAATGATGGGGGCTGGAGGGGGGAGGCAGCAGGGAAAACTTGATCTTCGATGGAAGAAGGTGCCAGAGAAAATGCATGAACAAGGCAGTCGCTGAAAGTTCACAGGTGACCTTTTCAATGCCACCAAATACATTCTACTTTATAAACATTTAGTTTTATAGTATCTGTAACGTGAGAGTCTGGAAGATCAGCATTATTGTTGATTTGTCCAATTAAAATATCCCAAAGAACTAGCCTTCACCCACGATTAAACAGCATCAGACCCTGTTTTAGCATCCAGAATGAATCCAAGCAGATTGAAATCTCCAACATGGTGAGGCAGGGGTGGGGTGGGGGTGGGGGGAATGTCATTTCAGAGGTGG